ATGCGAAAAAGAAAATATATGTGTGTGTGTATTGTAAACGCTCGAAGTAATAAATTTGTATATATATATATAAAGAGAGAAATGTATTTGTTTTATATAATCAATCTAAAAAATAATCCGAACTTCTTACGCTGAGTTAATTTTGGTTTTCTTCTGGCATCATTTACTATCCTCAAAACTTGTTGCTGCATTTTTAGTAATCCACTTTCTGATCCCCTACTACGATGTCTACCTCGTTCGTGTCCCATAAATCCAGCTCCTCCAAGGTGCGGTGAAAAAGCAGACATTTGAGGCTGTGCTTGTCGACTTCTTATAGCTGTATAAACTTGAAAGTAAAAATCATCAGCATATGGGTCGTCCGTCACAAGTTGAGATATCTGAATTCGATTAATAAAGTCTTTATCGCTTTGAGTCATAAGACCATTATATCTGGACTGAATTAATTTAAAAGACCATTGTTTTAAAAATAAATTTTGAAAAAAAAAGAATGTATTTTAATAACGGAATCAAATTAAATACCATTTCGGCCAATTTTCGTTGCTTCTCTCGTCTCTTGTACTCTTGTTCAAGATAAGCAATAGTTTCCTGTTCTCTAAAAACAGCCTCCGTCGCAGGATGAATGGGTAATTGTTGTGAAGGTGGTGGACGCCCATTTATACCCAATATAGCAGCCTCGACTTCAGCCAAACTGTAAATCCTTTTTTCTGGTAAACCAGGTTGCCTGTATAATTGCGCTTCAATTTCGTCAAGAGACATTGGCAAGCGATTAGAAGGATGTGACGGAAGTCCAAAACCGGGAGGTGGAGATGTCTGAGGTGGAGTGTAATGTTGAGGTATCTCAAAAGTACCGGGAATATTAGAATTGTCTTGAACGAGGGTAAGAGAATCTAAAGAAAGAAATAAGCATTATATATATATAACACTAAATAAACTTCTAGTAAAAAATTATATCTAATCACACCTTTACGATTTGACGGCGAATGAAATGAACCCCATATCGAGGGACTTATGGGTGACTACATTATTACAAAATATAATTAGAAAGTGATTAGTTGACTAGAGTTTTAGGAATTATATAGGACACTTTGAGAACATATTTTCTTTTTTTTTTTTTTTAAAAAAAAAAAAAAAAGGAAAAAAAAAAATTATATATATATATATCTATATATAGTATATACCTCTGGTAATGGTGGTGGTTGTGGTGGTGGGGGCGTAATTACTGCTTCATTGGAATGGATACCTTTTCCATTACCATTAATCATACCATCTGTATCATTTCCCCATAAAGCGGCATAAGATGGTCTACGTTTGGCTTGCTCTAGAAATTTTTTGACAAGTCAAGGATTCACTATTCATTAGTTTACAACATATATCAGATCAGGAATGAATACGAAAACGCGACAAAATAAGAATACATGACATACCATCAAAATTTTCTGAATTATTATTACTCTCCCTTCGAGTAACATAAATTTCCTCTTCTTTTTGTATGGAATCCATTTTCGCGGTACTTTCCATAAAATCAAAATCTTGACCTAAAACATTGAAATGCATAACAAATTTGGAATCAGATTAAATGCTTTTGAATTTTAAGAGCTCAAAATCAAAAGCAAAGGTGATCTAAATTTTAATGTTGGATAAAATTTGCAGAATACACAACACAAGACAACAATAAAAAAAAACACACACACACGCACCAACGTCACCAACATTTCCAAAAGTTTCGTCGTTTAAATCGTCCCCTGTCTCTACTAGCTGGGCACTCAAATCAAAATTTTGTTCATCGTCAAAAGCCCCAACGTCTTCTCCTGGAAGGAGAGAGAACTCTTTAAATTTCCTCTCAAAGTCCTCCTCCTCGGTCTCGTCGTTTTGTTCACCCGTATTTCCTTCTAATCCGGTTAATTGATCAGAGTTTAATGGGGGCAAGGTAGTATCGAAGCCGAAGAAAGAGTCTGACATTATTATCTATCTCTTATCTTCGTTTCACCTTTATTAGATGTGAGATCCAAAATTTTTTATGAGAAATATATATATATTAAAAGCGAAATACCGTTATGGTAAATTTTGATTTTTTGACGTTAACGAAAAATGTTACATGAGATACACTTTTTTTTGATAGCCTATTAGAAATTAAACCAACTTCTAGGTTCGCGCACGTTGTTCTACTAGATGTCTAATAAAGGTATCAATCGAATGCCATCAAAAAAAAAAAAATTACTATATAGAATGACATAAAATGTGACTTTTTCTAAATTGGTAACTGATTTTTGTGATATTAAATTCAATTATTTATAAATACATTAAATTTATTTGTGCCTTCAAATCTTTATCATTTTAATTCGTGATTTTAAGTAATGCCCCAAGAAAGAGCTTCACGAATACGTTTTCGTAATGCCACACAACCTTTGAACCCAAGATTATCAAGGTACTAAATAAGAGGAAAAAAGATATGTATATATATATATTCTTACAAAATTTTGTTAATCCGTTATCGTTTAATGCTTCAATAATTTAATCACTATTCTATAATTGTATTTTAAGGAATGAATTCACCGAATTAGAAGATTATCTTACAAAAGAATACGAAGATTTAAAGTCTTTATGGTTAGAATTTAATGAACAATATGCAAAGGCAAAGTCTGAAGAAGAAGTACTCGTTCAAATGTTAAGCGATGTAAAAGGAACTACTGTCGAGGAGTCACAAAATTCTTTAGATTATGCGGAAAATCTTGTACAGGTATGTTAATTGATTTTTTGAAGAGTGGATTTTTCTTAAACAATTCTAACTATTTATGACATCGTCCATTGACACAGTCCATGTATGAGGAAAAGGGGTCATCATCACCTTTGAAAAGTTCTCCCATTTCTTTATCGTGTGACCCGGTTAACCAGGAATCATCAGAAAGAGTAGGAAATGATGTAACAGATTCCTTTGACTCGTTAACCCTGTCATCGCCGAATATATCTGAAATGCGAGAATCCATTTATACAGCGTTAGAATTATCAAATAGAGATGTGCTACAAGATTCTGTCACAACGGAAAGTTCTTTGGGATTTAACACCAATTTAGATAATGCTCTACGCAAATTACAAAGATTAGATGAGGAGGACTATGATATTGATCAAGATGAAGAAATGACGGATATAATTTCGTTAGATAGAGAGAGCGAAAAAACACGAATTTTGACTACTTATGAAAGTGATAATGATCATGAAATAGGTGAGTATTTATGTATTTTTATTATGTTATATCCGTTTGTAATTTGTGTTAATTTGTTAATGTATATATCTAATTATGATATTTGTTTCAAAAAAATAGATGAGGATGATGAGATTGAATATGATGGGTGGAACGAAGATAAAACTAGATTAGCTCTTAGAGATATGTTAGATATGATGCGGGATCAAAATAATCATTAGATTTTTTTTTTGATTTTGTAATTTTTCTTTCTCTTGGACAAATCTATTTTAATAAAATTTGAGTTTTTTGATAATCAAAACTAATATAGTTATATAATATGTTTCTAGCTAATAATGAAAATATGTCAATATTACTTATTAATGTCCATTTGTTGTTTTAGATTTGCTTAATTGATATTGTTTATAACAGTCTGTTTGTTCTGGAAATGATTCCTGAAGCTGGTCAAGAAGTAACTCTGAAAAATTCTGACAGTTCATAAGAAGTTGGAACGAATTAATATCAATTGAATCGAGGAAATCATTAAAAGAATTGAAATGCTTTTTATAAATCAATATACTTATTACTTGTATTGCTTCGTTTTTTATATTCACTGATTCATTTTCCTTGATCACTTCTTCTACATAATCTACCATAAACTTATCAGGATTACGTCCCTCGTCGATATATCTATTTTTACATAATAAAACGCAAATGATAAAATATGAGATTAACAAAGACCTCAAAAAAAAAAAAAAAAAAAATTGAAAGGGATTATTCAATAAATTTTATTACTCTATCACTTCTAATGGCACCTCGATATGTTTGATTTTCTCTTGAAGCTTGTGTATTTCGTCAAAACGATCAGCCAAGTCAGATCTGTCGTGAAAAGAAAAATTTTGAAAGATTACATTTTCTTGAATACAAAAAATAAAAAAAATTAGAGAAAATCGACATACAAAGTGTGAGATAGTGCCCATTTATTTTCTGGATTGTAATCATTTAATTGCACCATTATCTCCCATATTTTGGTAAGGAGATTGTCTATAGTTAGTTCGAGCTGTGTTCGTGGATCGCGTGATTCGCTATGTCCGTTTTGTTGTGGCGGTTGTTCAGGTTCAGATGCAGTGGTCATCATCATGGGTCCCATCAATTAAACCTAGAAAAGAAACGTGTGGATTTTATATTATGCCAATGTAAAAATTGTAGAGGTTGGGGCCGAATAACTTGGAGAGTATAATTTAATTTAATTTTTTTTTTTTTTTTGACAACCCAAGTTAGGACTTCCGCTGTTTATATAATTTTCAAATGTATTATGTAACAAGACAGATTTGTAACAGATCAACCTTATATATGTTTCACGACATCACCTTTTGGGATAACTTGAAAGTCGATTTTTGAGAAATGAATTAAAAATCGCGATTTAATCGTTTTTTCTCGAAAAATGTTTCAGATTTCTAACCTTAGATTTTCGGTTTCGACTAATCGATTTTATTTATGACGTTACTCAGCTACATAAATATAAATCGATAGAAAATAAATAAATAAAAAATATTGATATGTTAAGATAATGATGATGACACAATAATATTTAAATAAGAGTCATTGTTATCCAGGTTTAGTTAGTCTCAATGTTCAATTGTCTCCTGTCCTCTGGCCCTAAGCCATAAATTCTTAGATTTTAGGTTTTAAAATTTTTTTTTCCTAAAAAAAAAAATCGTGCTTTACTGCGCCACTAATAACTGGATTCTCGATTATCAATCGATTTACAGAAAAAAAAAAAATTTATTTATTCTTTCTTCACACTTTGTCGATCTCACGCATGTCATTCTCTTCATCGTTATTTCGTAAAGAATTATACAATAGAGCCACACGCTCTTTACTGTTATCTTCCACAATAAGAGGAAGAATAACAACCACACAACTACAAAGAACATTATCACCTTTTACAATAGGTCAACAAGGTACCAACTATACTAATATCAAAGAAAATAGTAATAATAATAATGATGAAAAAATTGCTAGTGAAACTGGCGCACCGGAAGGAGCCGATGCTTCTACCACAGGAGTTGATCTGAAAGAAAAACAACTTGCCGAACTTAAGGTATCTAATTCATTCATTTTCTCAATTAGTTTTTTTTTTTTTAATATAAAAAATGATAATTTAAAATGAATTTTTTATTCGTTTTTAGGATAGTTATCTGCGATGTTTAGCAGATATGGAAAATTTACGAGAACGTACGCGTAGAGAAGTAGAGCAGACCGCTCAATTTGCTATACAAAAATTCGCCAAAGATTTAATTAATACAGTTGATGTTTTAAATTTAGCTTTGTCTTCTGTTCCTGCTGAAGTTCGCAATGATACTCAAAATAATCCTCATTTAGTTGGTTTATATACTGGGGTTTCGTTAACTGAAACTGATTTATTAACAACCTTAAAGAGACATGGTGTTGAACAAGTCAATCCTTTAGGTGAAAAATTTGATCCTAACATTCATGAAGCAGTTTATCAAGCTAAAGTTCCTGATAAAGAACCTGGAGTTATTTTTGATGTACAAAAAGTTGGTTACACCTTATTTGGTAGAGTTATCAGACCTCCTCAAGTGGGAGTTGTTAGAGACAATGAAGCTTAGTTAATTGGACATTGCTAATAAACAAAAAATAATTGTTGTCGGATTACTCATGTCATTAAGTTATAAAATAATAAATTTCTATTTCTAATTTGTATCAATAATTTTTTTGCGGAATAGGAACTCTTTGAAAAAACAATATTAATTTCACCGCCGAACATTAAAATATATATATAAGTGTGTCTCGCTCAGCAAGAAATTATTAAATCTATTTAAAAAAAAGTCTCTTTTCATAATACATACACCCCACGATAAAATCTCCTCCTCTCATCCAGTGAGAGTTATACACTATGTATATCAAATCCATAACTTGAATCTCCTTTATACTTACTTGTTCTCTTGCAAAATCGAGCCAACTAAAGTATATAATATCGTTAGAAAAATTATAATAATGATCCATTAAAACAAGTAACGTTCGCCCACCATGTAAAATTTTCTAATGATTCCCATGATCCTTCGTTTCCATGGATTAGGGTAATAAGGTCTTCTCCATGGATTCTCATCATCTTCATCTTCATAATGATCACTATAATACTTCCTTTGTTGTTGATGGCTCAAATATTCTACTGTTGTCATGTCCATTAAATCTTTTTCATATACGTACATATTAAAAAAAAAAAATAAAAAAAAATAAAATAATATTCCCCAAAAATTCAAAAAATTATTATAAACCTGACATCCAAACACAAATATTCATATATGTAGAATACTTACATAGTCTCAAGTGAAAGAATAATAAATGACCAACAAACGATACAACACCGAAACTTACAAATATTAGGAGAAAATTAATAAATAGACCAATAGTTATGAGATGAGGAGTTGATGGAGGAAATATTTTATAAACTAAAAATTAATATAATCACAAATTTAGCTTTTACAAAAAATAATTTCTAAAATTACACGTCTTAAATTAACTTTTCACGTTTATACATACGATTCATTAAATAGTCATCATCCGTTTCCGAACCAAAATATAAATTAATAGCGCAAAGCGCGAGCCAAAGGCTCATGATGGATACGGAAAGGGAAGATATTATGAATATTATGAACGTTCTGTAATTGGCTTCCGCGATACAGCAATTTAGCCATCGACAATGATGATCGAAACCTTGTACACACTTGAGAAAAAGTGAAAAAGAATATTAAGTAAGCATTCTAGTATTTTCTCGATTAATCATCCTGATCATAAATTACCTTATTACAATATTTACAATGCCTTGTACCTGATCCTCTATTAATTGAACATTTTCATTGAATTTAAGATTAACAAAAAAAAAAAAACTTGAAACAATAAATTTTATACTAACACATTACTTCTGCAAATACAACACCAGCCATCTACAACAACTGGAATTCCTTTTGTCCTCGAGTATGTCATGTCTCTTTCCTTTCCTTCTCTCATCACACGCGAATCTGCTGTATCAGTTAAAGAGACTTTTATACTGGTAAAAATTGCAATAAAAGAAAATAAGAATCCTAAAAAACTCCAAGTTGACCTCCTTCTGTGAACATTATAAACATCAACGTCCTCCTTGAAAAATGCTTGCGCTTTATACTTTTCGTCTTCGACTATAAATTTTATTGAAAACTCAAAGTATCCTATAACGAGTATCAATGATATTACCCATTGTAAGATAAGCCAAATGTCAAAGGGAGTATGATATCCGTGAGTCCTATACCACGCGTTTGTGGTATATTTGAAGTTGCTATTTGCTGAGGAAAATAAGAAAAAATCAAAACACATGAAATGGTTCAGCCATGTGTCAGAAGGATTACAATCATTACTAGAACTAGAACGTGACACTCTATGGTATTTCATGGTAGAATGAGAGGAGGAATGAATATTGGAAAGAGGTAACGAAGTGGACATTTAAGCAAGAAGAGACTGTATTTAGTTTGTTGTATTTTTTTTTATTTTGCTCGTGGTGTGTATTTCGTTATCAGTCGTTAAGTCTTACTATATCCTCATCCTAAAAACGAAAATTTGTTTGTTTATATTTAAGTTTGAGGGAACCAAGGAAAGTTTGCTGAAAAAAAATTCCAATTTAAATTATTTAAATTGTTAAAAAAATTTTTAAAAAGATCAAGCCCGTTCCTATCAAGTTTTGTTTATATTAAATAACTTTTATTGGTTATTAACGTTAACTGTATTACTTTAAATCAGGTAAAAACTAATTTATTAATAAAATAATTTAACTAGTTGCTATGATTACAGTCAACTCTCTCTAAATGCACGCTCTCATTCAGTCCCAAGCATATAGAAACCTTATAGAAAATTTCTCTTTAAAAACACACTCTCTTTAAATGTACATTCACTAAGGGGATGCATTTAGAGAGTTGACTGTATATTAAAGTGGTTATGTTAATCTAAACGTTATTGTTACACACAAAATTTTTAATTATAATTTTTAATTATTAAGTTTATAATTTTACAACTTACATAATATTAAATCTGAATTTATTTACCAAAAAAGATAATATTTAGCTTATAAAGTAAAAAAAAATTTTTTTTTGGTAGTTTCTTCCTTTCTACTGCTAAGCATCTAAATTAAAGATGATAACCATAATTATTCTATTATGTTGCAACAAATAATAAATTAATTAAGTAATATAACATTATTAACTTAATTAACCACAAGTTGCAATTAGTTATAATTTTTACAGGGGACTGCAATTAGTTACAATTTTTACAGGGAACCGTAATTAGTTATAATTTTTACAAGAAACCGCAAATTGTTATAATTATTACAAGGGATCATAATTATTATAATTTAAATAAAGTTGCAACATTATGTTATAACATAGATGTTGCAATAATATTTTTTGTTACAATTAAAAATTATATATTACAATTAGTAACAATAAGTTGCAATTATTACAAGGTATCATATTAATTAGTAAAATGATGTAATATTCATAAGATAAAGTAATTTTTTAAAAAATTAATTCTCACGATGAATTTTAAATAAATTTTTAAAAATTTTGTTATTATAATAAATCATCCTTTATTTTGTTATTTTCAAAAATTAACTGAAATTATTACACCTTTTTACTATCTTTTTGGTCTAAAATAGTTTTATTATTTTTTTTTTTTGTTACAAATTCAATAATTAAATAAATTTTCAATATTATCTTTAATTGAAAAACTTAAATTATGGAAGCTGAACAATTTTAAAATACTTTAGATGATAATTCAAGTACATTATCAAGAAGTACAAAAAAACATTTAGGAAGAAAATTTTCTAAAGTATGGAAACATTTTATTCAAGAAAGTGAAAATACTACCTGTAGCTATTATGAAGAAACATGTAAATATTGTAATAAATTTTGGATAGATGCTAAACCTAATATTTTACGTATTTATTTAGCATCCTATTATTCAAAATGTTCTAATAATATTAGTTTAGGATTTGCTAAAATTGTTGCTCAAGATTTAATTCAAGATGAATCCTCTAATTTTAAATGATAAAAAACTATTCAAGCTCATGCTTCTTTTTTTTCTCATAAGCAAATTTTCATTAATCAACATTATGAAACTAATGTAATTTCAAAGCAACGTCAAAAAAAATTGATAATATTTTAGTTAAAACTTTTATCCTTTGTAATATTGCTTTTTCTATAGTAGAGAATCCATTTTTATAGAATTATTAAAAGCATTATGTGCAAGTTATAATCCTTTTTATAAAAAATGACTTTTACATGAACTTGTAGAACAAGAACTTGCACAAGTTAATATCAAAATTTTAAAAATTTTTGATATTACAAATAATTTAATATTAGCCTTAGATAGTTAAACTTTACCTACTGGACAATCTCTTTGGAATTTTGTTATTTTAACACTATTTCGTCAAGAATATCTTTTTTGTCTTCAAGATTTAACTGAAGAACATCATACTGAAGAAAAATTAGCAAGTGAAATTTTAAAAGTTCTTCAAAGCATTAGAATTAGAAAAGTTGTTGCTGTTGTAACAGATAATGGTCCTAATATTAAATTAGCAAGAAATTTAATTTCAACAAAATTTCCAACGATTTTTAATATTTCTTGTATAACTCATTATTTTAACCTTATTTCTCATGATATATTAAAACATTCTTTTGCAAAAAAAACCATTCAATACTGTAATATGTTAGTTACATATTTTAAAAAATCACATATTTGTGGTGATTTATTAGAAAAACTTATGGC